GGGAGGATATTTTAGAAATTGCTTTGGTGGGAGGAATATGAAGATGGACATTGGTAGGCAGATTGGTGAGCCAGGGTGCTATGGTCTCGTGACACTTAAATGAGGCGGTGGACTGGAATGTGCTTATTCCTTCCTGATGAGAATCCTTCTTTTTCTTATCGTGTAGCCCCTTTGTGCTTCAATGGGCGTAGATAGAGACACTGCTTTTGGGCCTACACCTGTCATACTATGCCCGATAGAGTAGAAGAAGAGATAAGTGGTAGAATAGCAACCTTTGCAAATTCTCCATTGTTCCTCTATCAATTGAACGATTGCCTCTCGTGGAAACGTAAATAGCCTCGGCATCAGTATATTGCAACTTGTTAATACCATCAAGCAGCGAGGTATGAATGTCCAACTAGAGCACACCACCCATCAATTACCAGCTATCAGTCAAAATTCAACATTTCATAAATCCATGTTCAGTTTTCTCATCCCATTGGCCAGTAAATCCTCAACACCTCCCTGATCACACCAAAGTGGTCCGCATCTGAGACAACCGCCCACTCCAAAATGGCAAAGAATTAAAAATCACCTTCAATTTGAAACAAAACCCGAGATTCAAAAATCCCCATTTCCAAAAATCCCCCGTCCAACGTCCCATCTCCATAATCCCTCTTCATTGGCTCGTGAAAAGCTTATCGGTGTTGATGCACTCCATCAAAAACGCCAGCATCCACCTACCCAAATCCACACAAAATCCACAAAAGTAATACTTTCAAAACTCCAAAATCCTTCTAAACCCTTCAGTGTCCCCAAAAATCCATACACCTTGACCCAACCCTCCCCAATCCAGCCGTTATCCATCCTCCTACTTCTTCTGTCCTGCAGATCGCTGCGATCCGATAGCTCCAACTACTCTTATCCGTGAAATGCTAGCCACTTTAGCCGCCTTTGTGGCCAAGCAGGCGGTTGTCGAAGGTGCAAAAGTGCTTCTAGGAAGGGAGATCCCCGATGAAGACGAAATTCCCGATGTCACGACGCCCGACCCCGAGGAAGATGCCGATCCGGTAACAGAGGAGATGTTTTCGCTGTGGGCGCTATTCATCCTTCTATTTCTTCTATGCCTGGCGTTGTGGCTGTCTTACTACCTTCAGCAAAGAAGGATCAAGGCCATTCACGAAACGGTCTTGTCGATTTTCTACGGAATGGTGGTGGGGTTGATTATTAGAGTCGCTCCCGGGCACTATATCCAAGATGCCGTGAAGTTCAAGTCCGGCTACTTCTTTAACATCCTTTTGCCGCCCATTATCCTCAATTCGGGCTATGAACTACATCAGGCAAATTTTTTCCGAAACATCGGCTCCATCTTGACCTTCGCTATCCCTGGAACGTTTATATCTGCCTTGGTTCTTGGCGTGATCTTGTACATTTGGACAGCATTGGGCGTGGACGGCGTCAGGCTTGAGTTTGTTGATACTTTGGCCGTGGGCGCTACCTTATCGGCTACTGATCCCGTCACAATTTTGTCGATTTTCAATGCCTACAAGGTGGACCCTAAGCTTTACACGATCATTTTCGGCGAGTCGCTTTTGAACGACGCCATTTCCATTGTCATGTTCGAAACGTGTCAGAAGTTTCACGGCAAGAAAGTCACGTTCTCCTCGTTCTTCGAAGGTGTGGCCTTGTTCTTGATGACATTCACCATATCCACTTTCATTGGCATTGCCATCGGTATTATCGTCGCCTTGATCTTGAAACACTCCCACATCCGCCGCTACCCGCAAATCGAAACATGCTTGGTTTTGCTTTTCGCCTACCAGTCGTATTTCTTCTCGAACGGTGCTCACATGTCCGGTATTGTCTCGTTGCTTTTCTGCGGTATCACTTTGAAACACTACGCCTACTTCAACATGTCGAGACGCACGCAAATCGCCACAAAGTACATTTTCCAGTTCCTTGCCCAGCTATCAGAGAACTTCATCTTCATTTACTTGGGCTTGTCGTTGTTCACTGAGGTTGAGTTGGTGTTCAAGCCCTTGTTGATTATCGTCACCTTCATCTCGATCTGTATCGCCAGATGGTGCGCTGTGTTCCCTCTCTCGAGACTCTTGAACTTCTTGTACCGCTCAAGATTCGAGCGTTTCAGCAGAAACACCGTCATGTCTGGCGGAATCCTGTCGCAGTCCCAACCCGAGGATATCAGCCATTCTTACCAAATGATGATTTTCTGGGCCGGCTTGAGAGGAGCTGTCGGTGTGGCATTGGCTTTGGGTATTCAGGGTGAGGCTAAATGGGCCCTTCTAGCCACAGTCTTGGTGGTGGTGGTGCTTACTGTCATCTTTTTCGGAGGCACTACCGCTTCTATGCTCGAGATCTTGGGCATCAAGGTCGGATGCGTCGAGGAAAACGATTCAGACGACGAGTTCGATATTGAAGCTCCTCGTGTGACCCTTGATTCAACCACAAACGTGAATCTCATGGGCAGCAGACGCTATGGAAACGGCACATACTCAGACACCAACACCAGCACAAACTACAGAAACACAAGCAACACCAGTCTCCCGTACATCAAGGGATCGAGCCATAGCTCGCGGAATAACTCCAACCCAGAACTACCCACCCTTGACGATGATTTGAATGGTAGTGATGCTGACGATGTTTTCAATGCTGGTACTAGAAACCCCGATACTGCTCATGCCACTACCGCTGCAATTGCTCAGCAACAGACGAACGGACTCTTGGGTGCTTTCCTCAGTGCCGAGGAGCACGCCAAGTGGTTTACAAAATTCGACGAAGAGGTGTTGAAGCCGGTGCTTCTTGACAAATCGCCAGGCCAACGTGACAACGACGAATCAAACGTATAACCCTCAACGTCATTTCAAAATACAACTCACCAAAATATACATGTTATTAAATTAGTAATACAAATCAGAAGACTCCTTTTCCTTCTGCTGCTGGGCGATCGAGGCGTCAATGACCCACTTGGCGAGCTTGAACGCACGCGACGATAACAGCAAATCGTTGAGCTTGTAGTTGTACTTGACGCAAAGCTGGAAAAACTCCTGAATCGTCAAGTCGTGCAAGAGAGCCACAAGGTGGTGCTTGGTGGCTTGCTCGTTTTCTCTTTGTTCCGCTGTGAGGTATATCGATGCTGGCAAAATGTCAGTATAATTGGCGCATGCTCTGATGGGTCTCTCCAAAAGATTCAACACCTCACTGATGTGGGCGCCGGTGACGGTGTTGTTGCGATCCTCCTCCACAGCATGGATCAAAATGCCCAGAAGGGCGATGACGGCATTGCCGTAGTTCACTGGGTTCACCACCCGCGACTCAGTGTCTTTTTTAAGGGTGATTCTGAAGAAAACACCAATGCTAGAGTCAAGCAACTCGTTGCGATACTCGGTGTAGTACTTCTGGAGCAAAGCAAGCTTGTTGGTGACTGTTTGAGGTCTCGGTCTGGACGCTTGGGGGTTGAGGTAACCAGACAAGAACTTCTGCGCGGGAACGATGATTTGAGCCACAACAAGCTTGCCCAAAGAATGCTTTTCGAGTCTGGTGATGAAGGATGACTTGGCCGCAGGCTCTTCGTACCGCCTGAGAGGACTGGATGAAGCATCAACCATCGGCTGAGTAGTGTCAGCACTAGCATTGAAGGAATTACCGAAAAGGAACGAGTCCTTGTTTTCTTCTATAGTTTCCTCTGGCTTGACAGGCTGGCTGCCTCTAAGGGCGTTCATGTCCGACTGAGATCTGTAGTTGACTCTGGATGACGTTTCCTTGATCACCAAGGCACACTCGTCAAGGATAGCAGGCCAAACAAAGCCGGCCACGGAATGAGCGCTGTAGATGTCTTTTCTTCTCTTGACGCCCTCTGGGTCGTTGGTGGTGGCGATGTAGGCCAATTCCTGGAATGCGGTCAATCTAGCGATCTGGGTTTCAGGTTCAACGTCACGGAGACACAGAAGAAGCGAGCTCACAGGGTCTTCGCTGTAGCTGCTGATTGGCTTCTTTCCGTCCAAGCATCCAATGGTGGAGTAGGTGTCGTACACGTGGTTCACGACTTCCCAAAGGAAAAACACAACAAACGACACAAACGACACATTGAAAAGGGTACGGATGCCAATGTGGAACCGGGGCACCGACAGGTCCAAGCCAAGCACGGCAAACACCATCCAGTTGATTTTGTAAATAACCAGGCGAATTACCCAGTAGACCACTGGTGATGAGATCAAAGTCACCGAGTTGAAAAGCACAGCATGACCCACAAGCGCAGGTGCTTTAGAAAATAACACCAGGTCTGGCTTAACGTGATTCACGCCGTACCTGAACAGAAGCCTGTTCCGCTGAAACACAATGTGCTGAAGAGTGTAGGCCAATGCAACAAAGTAAGCATGGAACCAGAAGAACACCCACTCGTCATTGATGGCCGGTCTTTTCCGGAACTCCTTCGCCACCACACTGTACTTAGACCACAAGGGCAATTGTGCCATGAAAAGACCATACAAAACAAAAGCAGACGCCGTATAGTAGGCCAAACTAATAAGGTATCGACGACTGAAAACGCTTCTAGCCAACTGCCGAGCCAATGTTTTGTTGGTTGTGTAAGAAACAGTGGAATTGCCGTTTCGGCAAATTTTGACAAGGTAAAGTCCACCATAGATCAAGGGAGCTCGGAAGGTAAGCGTGTAAACTATGTTTCTGAAGATGCTCATGTATGGAAAGGCCAAAATGGCGCTGGCGGCGAGGGCCAAAAGAAACGAAATTTTGTTCCAGTAGCGTAATCGTTTTTCATAGACTTTGCTGAAGTAGTACTGGTACGAATTCACCCGCTTAGGCGGGGCTTTTATTGAACCAGACATGTTGATGAAGATATTAGGGCAGTGAGGGAAGTAGTATGGTGGGATTATATACAGGAAACACAGGTAGATTCACTATAATTTCACTATTATCTACATGTGCCAGCTCCTTCGTTTGTGTTTTCGGCTTTGCCGCTATGTACATTATTCCCCTTCTCTTCCTCATGCATCCTTGTTGAGCTCCGCATGGGCATCGCGACGCAACTTCTCGTTCTCTCCACTCAAGGTGTCTCTGACAGTTTGGAGACCTGGCTGGCCGTCGATCTCGCCAAATGCGGCATCCTTGACAGCACGCTCGTTGGTCTTGGTGTTGGCGTAAACATTACTGTAGCCAAAGAGCTTGTCCTCGACCAAGTGCTCGTTGCTCTCGAACTGGCCAACCTTCACTTCGAAGGCCTCACGGATGGCCTCGCTCAACTCCTCCTCGGTAGTGATGAAGCTTCCAGCAGCGTGGTACAACTCCAAGAGCTCGGTGGCACGGGCCTCCTGAACCTTCAATTCTTCCACTCTTCTGTTCAAGGCTCTCTGCTCCTCCTTGATGGCCTTCTCCTCAGGGGTCCTCTGTCTCATGATTGGGCCCTTAAGGTAAGAGTCGATGGTGGGCAAGGTCAACTTGGTGGCCTCGCTGTCCTCGTGCTGCTTGTCTTCAGCCTTGTGCTGCTCCTCCAACTCGTGCTTTCTGGCCTTGAGCTGTTCTAGCTTCTCCAAACGCTTGGCCTCCGTCAAGTAGGCATCACGCAAATGCTCTTTTCTGATCTGGTCTCTCTTGTAAGCCCATAATGCGTCGCCTTCTAGCTTACTGACGTCCACATTGGGTTCTCTCTCGACTCTTTTGCGAATAAGCTCCTCAACAGGAACAATTTTCTTGGGTTTAGGCACACGAGAAACACGACGGCCGTCCACCTTTGGTGGTGTGACGCCCTTGGCGTAACCCTGTTCTAGTTTAGCCTCTTTCTCCTTCACGTAGTCTGGAGGTGGCATGATGGGGTTCTTGAAAATGGGACGCAACTTGGGCAATATACCCGACTTGCCGCCGTATTTGAGCGTGCCTTTGCCCAAAGCCAAAGATGTAGGATGCATGGTATTAGGTGGTTAGGCTTGGTGATGTTCGAATCGTATTGAGAAAACTTTTGTATGGAGGGCGTGCGCATACCACTACTCTCTGCCCCAGGTCTCATAGACTGCTGTCAGTGGAGCCTTTCCGATTTTTTTGTTGCCCACTTGATCTTCAAATAATTTGAAAAGTAGCAATTTTTTATCTTCTTCCGCTAAGGTGGCGTTTTCTTGGTAATATTCGATTAGCCTGCGTGGTGTCTGGAAATGGGCCTGGATCACCACTGCTTTTTCTAGTGAGATACCTCGCACCAGCATAAGCATGAGGATGAACATTTCCTTCACAGTCATCATATCGGATTTTGAAAGAACGGCTTGATATGTTGGAAAAGTGTGAACACATTCGTATTTCGTCGGTCTTTTTTCGAAGTTTTTCCGAAAGTCTTGTAGGATCTCGGAGTATTCAGCTTGGTTCTCCACAGATAACGGTCTGAGCACTAATAGGCGGGTTTTGGCGTACCGATTTTTGAGGATATTGGTCATTGCAACGACCCAATCGACAATATCGTCGGACTTTCTGAAACGCTCGAAGTATAAATTAGACACCGTGATCACCATCGAGATGGCGGTTTGAATGGCATTTTTCATTTCCAAGATGCGGTCCATATCGCAAAGGCCACCTTCCTCCACAACGTAGTAGACATTGTTGAGCGCTGATTTTTGAAGACGATTTTTCTGTTCCACAAAACGGCCGTCCTTGATGGACATGGCCAAATCGTCGATTCTCTTACGCTCACAGACGTAGTTGAGGACGGCTTCCTTCTTGGTATGCTTATTTCGAGCGATCCACAAGATATCACCGACGGAAAGGGCTCTCACGTCACAGGATATATTATGGTTGGCCACACGTTTCTGGAAGAAATCTCGTTCTCCCTGGGAACGCATCTCTCGTGTGTCAAAGAGAACAGCCACCTCGAAATCCTCCGGGTTCCATATATCGTAGGGGACACCATCGAACACTTTTTTGGCAGTGTCGTGAGCTTTTCTTCGTAGCGGACTAGACGAAGGCTCGAAAAAGAGCTGTGTCAGATCAGGCGTGACCCTGACTCCGTTATCAAAGCTCAAATCCACCGTTGGAGCCGGTGAAGAGTGGATGTTCTCCTGCTGCATGATCACCCGAGCCATTGCGACGCCAGTTTCCGTCAAAATATAAAGTTTAGGAGCTCTTCCCACACATTCCACCAATTCTCGGTTCAAAAGCGTTTTCACGCCGTCCCAGGCAGAATAGAAGTCTCGAGCAGCAGGATTGGCGGTGAATGAAGAATCACAGTATTCTGAGGCACTAGCGATGATGTCTTCCTTTCGTAGGCCTTTTTGGGATCCGTTGTTTTTATGCAATGCTATGAGGATCGCCCAGGAGCCCGAGCGTCGTTTGGGCACCCACAGGCTTCTTCGTTTGGGTTTCTTCTTTGTGGTTTCGTCGTCGATCTCATGAGCTCTTTTCCCGCCTTCTCTCTCCTCCAAGAACGACGAAAATCCTTCCGGAAAGTCCACACCCTCCTCCTGGCAGTGCTTTTTCAATTTGCCACACAAAAACTCAAACGTCTTCTGACCCACACAACTAATCTGTCGTAGCTGTTTCCCATTTTCAATAGGATCCGGATGACTTTTCACCTTGTCATGTGCCTTGCTGTAAGCGAACCCGAGCTTCAGGCCCTTTTTGGTAAGCTCAGCCGCCTGGACCTCGAGCCATCCCGCAAATAGCAGATTGAGGTCTAGAGAAGCCATAGTGTTGATACTGGTCTGCACGCGCGTTACCCCAGATGATGAGGTAGGACGTGAAAAACAACAAAGAGACGGGTTTGGCAATTTAGTGGGAGAGGTGGAAGAAATGGATCTGGATTGGATCAGACTGTATGGGTTTTGGCTGACGGTGTAATTTGTCGTTTGGCTTGTGATATGGTGTATACGGTTTAGCTTATGGTGGAGAGTAGCCAGTGGTGTTTTTCAAGGTGAAGTGGGTATTTCCATTCGGATGGATGTTCTTGTTTTAAATGCGTTTTCAATTAAGATGTTTGACTGATTTCTGAAAATTTGTACCTTTTGCATTCTAATAACATTCGATGATTTGACATGCAAGGTGAGAAATGGCTGCGAAACACAGAACGCCCCACTAATGATTAGGAGAACGATAACATGAGTGCAAGATTAATAATAAATGATAGCAAACAAACAATCTGTTTTTGGTGAAGAAAACAACTGCCCTCCTTGAAGAGCCCAAACCATTGTCTAGTATCAAAATGGACGTCCGTTCCTCCCAATTGACCAGTCTTTCACTAGTACGCTACATCACCTAACAAGCGTTAAATAGACAACAACAGGCAAACTGAAGAACATCAAGTACCCAATATGCTGCACCAAGTTCAAAAACGTTTTAACAAAATCAAAAAACGCAATATATTGTTTGACCACCATCAGGCTCTTCCTACTACTCATTTGCAACCGTTCTGCCTGCACGCCATCGCAAATACAACATCTTCTTCTGATGCCTCCATCACTGGGTGCCAATTGGCGACTGCAGCTACCTCGTGGAAAGCGGCGTCTTGATTTTGACGACGAGCCTACAAAGGACAAAAAAAGGGAGGTCAAACCGCCAAGCAAGTCCCAGCCAAACATCACCATCAACAACACAAATACACCTTCAAGTTCAGGAAGTCAGAGCAGACAACACGACAGAGCTCCACTAAGCAAATCATCTACTTCACAAAAAGACCAGAAAAACGACGGGCCTCGACTGGGTCTCAATACAGAGGTTCACCCTCTTTTGAGAGACCTAGCTGCTGTTCCTCAGGCCCAAGGTGGACCCAAAAAGCCACGAAGCATCTTTGACCCCGCGTCACTCAATCCTTACTTAAACCAAACTGCTGCCGGAGCTCTGACCCATAGACCCAGGCCGCTTTCGCTCAATCCACAGGGAAAGTACGTCGCACAAGGTGACCAGCTACGAGAGAAGCTCAAGAAAGAAGTAGCAGAGGAGAAGCGGAAAAACGAACTAGCCAGCAAGAACCTTCTCCCTGACGAAAATATCGGTGAACAGCTATACAAGCCCCAATGGCCTCCGTTGATCGAATCGTGGGATAGACCGTTTCTCCAGAAGAGGCTGTACGACGAGTTCAAGGGCGAGTTTGTTTACGATTCCGAAGAGGCGCCTGTTTCCATCTATATCCAGCATCCTGTCCCTGTGTACGTGAACCGGACAGAGGTGGAGCTGGCGTTGCATCTTACGAAGAAGGAAATGAAGAGGAAGAGAAGAAACGAAAGACTAGCCAGGCACAAGGAGAAGCAAGACCGTATCAAGCTTGGTCTAGACCCACCTCCGCCTCCAAAAGTGAAGCTTTCGAACTTGATGAATGTGCTCACCAACGAGGCCATCAAGGACCCCACTGGAGTCGAGATGAAGGTGCGACAGCAAGTCGAAGAGAGACATCGTCAGCACATGAAAGTCAACGAAGAAAGACAATTGACGCAGGAACAACGCCACGAAAAGATACACCAGAGGCACGAGCGGGACTTGAGCCGAGGGGTCTTCACCACGGTGTATCGAGTCGACAAGATGGACTCCAAACAGCAGTACAAGGTGGACATCAACGCAAAGCAGATGGAGCTCCACGGGATGGTTTTGTTCAATCCCCGCTTCAACTTGGTCATCGTCGAAGGAGGCGAAAAAGCAATCAAGTTCTATAGAAGACTCATGACTTCACGTATTGACTGGGATTCGCAGCCAAACGGATCTCCGTGCGAAGTGGTCTGGGAGGGTCAATTGCGCCACCTCTCCTTTAAAAAATGGTCACGCATGTACACGTCGTCCGACGAGGAGGCCACAACGTTGCTAGCCCGATTTGGAGTAGAAAACTACTGGCGTGAAGCAGCGACGGTATAAGGTATGGGCTTACACACACACACAAACACCCGTACACCTCCACACTAGCCCCACTGACCAACAGAACTTGCTCCACGCTCGGAGAGCTCACTAACTTCTTCCAAACAAAATGGGCGCAGAATACAAAATCTTTGGCAAGCCAGTGAAGCCTCATGTGGTATGTTGCAAATGCAATTGAGTCGGTTCCAGACAAAACTAACGTTAGCTTTCCCTTATCACCCTCGGTGCCGTTGTGGGCATAGCCGTGTGGCCAGGTCAAAAGAAGGCCAAGCAGGAGGTTGTGGACCAGACTACCAAGGGTCCCAAGCCTGGCGACAAAGACGAGGAGTTCGATTTCCAGAAGATCATCAAGTATGTATTGCAATTATGGCGCAATTGGCCGTTACTAACCGCAGCGATTTCACCAAGGATGAGAAATAGTCCGTGTATAACAATGAACATTGCACAAGAGAGCTTATGGGACAAGAGTCGATTGACTGAAATGTAGAGTTGACAGTTGACATGAAGGGGCCGACGAGATTGATACTGGGTACGTGGGTGTGTTGATGAATCAGACTGGTGTGAGCGGATAAGCCGGACCAGTTTGGAGACACATTTTAAAGTGGAGCTAAACTTTAATTACGAGCAGGGCCCGTAGTGCTTGCATTGGGCTTATGAAACACTATGAGCAAGCAAAGCTGGGTGGACAATTGACTGGACTAATAAGCATGGAGTACTTCAAAGGAGTCCAATAAGCGTGTTAGTTTTGGAATTGTGGAAATCGTGAGTCTAGCTGTGTTCTTTGACAGTCTGTGACTGAGTTGTTGGCAAAGTTGATGTGCAAGGTGCAAAGGGATTGTATCGGAAAGCAAGTAAATAAGTTAGAGAGCTGGATCTATACAGCTTAAAAGATTCTTGAAATGTAAGACCAAACAATTAAGCATGCAAGATCTTGGTCTCCACAGCTTATTATACCTATGCACGTCGGCTATACCAAGCAACAGTGAAAGTCCAGGAACGTGGATTCATGAATCATTTTTCGAATATCCCGCTAGCTCTACAGATTGCGATACTGAGCAATCGGCAATTATTGCCAAAACGACTTTCATTCCCCTGGGGTCCCTGCCCATTCTATACTTACACTGTCCAGAAACGTCGAGCACTTACAACTTCTGTTTCTGAGGGGGCACCATCACCACTCTTCCAACCACTTCTCCACGCTCCAATTTTTCCATCCATTGAGGTAACTCCTCCATAGGAGCCTCCTTGACAACAGGGTTCAACAAGCCCCGCGAGATCCAGTCAAAGATCTCCAACTGCTCGGCAGACGTGCCTCCGAAATTGTAGTGGATAGTCACGTCACGTCTCGAGAGATCGTAGTTAGGCAACATCAACTTCGAGTTGCCCATGCCCACCACGACAATGTGTCCGTACATGCCGACATACTCAGCACACTCAGCTGCGGTAGCCTGGTATCCGACAAAGTCGAAACAGACATCAAACGTCTCAACACCGCCTAATTCTTCGGTATCCGTGTAGAATTCGTGAGCGCCGGAGTCCAAGGCGAGTTTTTCATTCGAGCCCTTCTTGTCGATACACACAATGTGGCAGCCGTAGTTTCTCAAGACCTGAAGGGCATTGAGACCCAATCCGCCAGCACCAAATACCAACACCTTAGCTGTAGGCGTGAGCACATGGCGAACCTTCTTGATGGCGTGGAACGGTGTCAAAATGGCATCAGAGGCCAGTGCCGCCTGGGCAAAGGACACGTTATCAGGGATCGGGAGCAAACAGCGCAACTGCTTGATGACAAGGTATTCCTGGAAGCCACCGTCACTCATGATACCGTAGCCACCAGTAGCGTTGGGACACTGGTTGTCCTTACCGGTACGACAGTTAGGGCACATACCACAAGCCATTCCGATCAACAAGGCGTATCTGGCGCCGATTTCGAAACCCAGATCCTCGAGAGCCAGGCCCACCTCGGCAATAGTACCACAGACCTCGTGGCCCATCACCATACGGTCCATTGGAGGAGACTGGGCCATAAGGATATGGAGATCGGAGTGGCAGATTCCGGCAGCTGTGATCTTGAGCAACACCTCATTGGGTCCTGGCGTGGGAATGGGGCAATTATCCCAGCGCTGGATGGTTTTCTTCCCTCTTTCGAATCCGTAGCAGGTCTGTGTAGCTGGCATTGTGCGTTGGCGTTTTTCGAGGGGATGCTCCTTTTATATACTCGGCACCGGACATAGGATTTTGGCCCCCGCATTTCGCAACCGGGTTCGATGGACTTCAGAATCCGGGGTAAAAAAGGGCTTTTCTCGGGGTATTTTCGGAAATAACGAGATCTCTTGCTGTTTCCAGTATGGTGAGTGGAATTCGCCAGGGTAGGCCGGGCTCCCAACACGGTGATAGGAGATACCGGAAAAATGAGGTTTTCTCCGAGCATGGCCAAGAGGCTTGAGTTGTGGAGTGGAGATGTTGAAAATTTTCACAATGACGTCGGTCAAGTAGATGGTGTTAAGTGGATTTGAAGTAGTCTGAGGTTATGTCGAGTTTTATGCAGCTGGTTTAGTGCGTTCGATGGATCGTGGATCGTATTGTTCTCTAGGCTTAGTATGTAGCACAAAGTGAAAAGTTACAGAGGGCAGGTTTTTGTGAGATGGATTGGAAATATTATGGGCTTAGTCTGAGGAGGTGGAGTCAGGAATTAAGAAAATGTCAGGATAATATAAATGTGGGGGCTTGTGATGGAAATAAGTCTATAGCTCTGATCTCGGACTTGGAGTCTATAAGGAGTGGTCTGCAGGACCTCCAGTCTGACTTCTTTGAAGGTGGAGGAAGTGGAGCCAGCAGGTTACTAAAA